TATTATTATTATTATTATTATTATTATTATTATTTGTTTAATACGAATATTGTCTCTTGTAATGGCTGGGAATAAGAGGATTAAAGAACAATGAACTTTCACTGTCCAGAGCTCGGTAAACCCAAAGTCAGGATTCTCGACAGCTGGATTCTCAAACGCTCTGGTGGTAAACGGCCATCTGAACCACGGTCGTTGAGATTGTTCGTTTAATTTATACATAAGGAAATTCTGGTTTCTTTACCATTGCTTTTGTGAATAGCTTTACGAAGCTCAAGTTATTGACGTCACCGTCCTTCACAAAAATGCACATCTGAAGCATTTTGTCTTTGGCGACACGACGGGACCTGTGAAACTGAGTTTCCGGCGTCCATTGCCGTTCCCATCCTCGTATTTTAAGGTCCCTATTGAATTAATTTGAAGCCCCAGTTGTCGTCTTTACGTTGCTAAGCAGCTGACGACGTAACATCGCTCGGAGTACTTTCGAGTGCTCGTGCCCTTGTTTGATTGCATAGTAAAAGTCGAGGACCTGCAACGAAGAGTTGCCATAGAAGGCTGTCTATTGTTCCCCAATTGCTTTTTCCCGCCCGAACACCCTGCTCAATTCACAACTTTTCTTGTTGCGATACTGAAAAGAAGCAAACCAAAAGGCGAGAAGAGTCATGAATCAAATCTAATGTGGAAATGCTTTATCCCGGATAAAAAAGGCTGCAGTAACTGCATGGCGAAGTTTGAAATCATATTTTGGCCGACGAAATGGACGAAGAAACGGAAACAGTGTTGAAACTGAAATGAAAACAGGACCGAGTCAGAGTGATTTAAGGAGCAGTCACGAGCAACTGCCTCAGTTTAAACTAACCGGGCGAACAGCGGTTTGTTCTGTGATAGAAGAAAACGACCAGCGCCATGGGATTTCACTAGCAGAGTTGAGAAGAGAGCTGACTGTTCGGTATCTCTTGGCAAAAAAACGGAATGTTATGAGAAAGTCGCCGGCGCAGAGATATACAGTTGAACCTGTTTACAAAAAACTGAACAGAAATAGTTTTTGCAACGCTAGCCTGAATTCGGGAACAACTTTGTAATTGTATCAATACCCTTCTTGAATTAAGGACATGCCTTCGTTCAGAACGCAGTTATTCTTCTCTTTCCTTTAAATCAATAAATTGGCTTTTGCCATTATATCCAGTCTTTTCCTAAATATTGATATTATTTAGGGTATAAAAAGTCTCAGCTTGAACGAGAAGGAACTAAAAGGCCAAAACAATTTTGATTTATTAACTGATTTCACCGGCATAAATGACGGCATACCATGAGACAAACAATTTTTATTCTTTGCCCTGAATTCCCATCACTATACTTTTTAACCTTGTCAAAGATTGCTATGTATCAAAGAGTTAAAAGAGAGCTTGAGGCAACCACGACGGCAATGGCAACGAGAACGCCATCAAACGAAAGGTTTAATGAGTATAACAATAGCTGTGCACGTGCGTTGTAAATCAGTCTTTGTATCTTTCCTTGCCGTCCTCTGTAAACAACAACGAGTTCTACGTATTTTGGAGAACGCGAACAACGGCGGCTAATTTTTCGTATTAAGGAACCTACGTAAACCATGACCGTAACGGCAACGAGAACGTCACCAAGCAAAAGGTTTAATGAGCAGAACAATGGCTGTGCACGTGCGTTACAAATCTTTGTACATTTCCTTGCCGTCCCCTGTAAAGCAACAACGTGAAATGACTATAAAGTTCCGCGAACGACGGCGGCTAATTTTTCGTATATTTATTTGGAATTGAACGCTGGCAATTTCTGAGACCAATAAGCGCATTGAACAGATCTAGGCAATTGCGAAATTCGAAGCCGAAATTATAAATTCCTTTTTTGCCCGGTGTTTTCCTCGGGGTCGCTGTCGTCATTGCTTAAGCTCCCTTATAGGGAATTTAAGTATCCACGACGGCGACGCCGAGGACAACGTCGATTAAAAAATGATTTAATATTTTACCTACGAATTTCGCGGTACTCTTAAGTCATTTACTTTGTTTATCACTGTTACAACTGATTCGAAACTGAGTCAGGGACACAGCGATGAATTTGAAATAAAAATTTCAGAAATTAGCCGTCGTGGTTTACGTTCTCCACACAACGCAGAATTTGGACACTTCACACGTTGCTGTTTTGCAGAGGACGACAAAAAATGTACCAAGATTTATGACGCACGTGCACAGCCATTGATCTAGTTGCTGTTATTTTTCAATTTTATTTTTCCGGTATTTCCAGGCGAAGGAGCGGTTACCACTCACGTGCGTACATTCCGTTCTAAATGGTGCATCTAGGATCTCGCTATGATAACTTTCATGGTTCAAATAGGTGTAGTTTTACGAATACTTACTAGTTAAACCTGAAAGTCTTGACATTTGTGCACTCATTTTCAATTTTCTATGATTTATCAAGTGCATTAGTTAGAACCAACGATTACACGTTGCCATGACAATTAATACGACTGTTTATTCGATGTCACTTTTCTAATGTTCAAGTCACTTCCTCCGAAGGTGAACCTCCTCGCAGGCCGCCACTTTCCTCTCTTGTTAAAAGATAGGACCGGAGTTGATGTGATATTTTACTGGCCGAAAATTCCTGCAGTAGCTTGCTTGAGATGTAGAAAAAGAAAAATAGCTTGAAACTTAGCTTCAAAGAGTTGCTCTTAATTTTATGGGCGACGTTTAAGGACTCTCTTACGTTAAACGTCGTGGGAGGCGCGGGGACCTCGTGGTTAGTGCGTTCGTTTCCGGATCGAGCGGTTCCGGTTCGAGCCTTGGCCGGGGACATTGTGTTGTGTTCTTGGACAAGACACTTTAGTCTCACAGTGCCTCTCTCCACCCAGGTGTATAAATGGGTACCGGCGAACTTAATGCTGGGGGTAACCCTGCGATGGACTAGCATCCCACACAGGGGGAAGTAGAAGTACTCCTAGTCGCTTCATGCTACTGAAACCGGGATAATTGCAGGCTCAAACAATTCTCGGACACAGGGGCTATTTATCATTACTGCGGAGAAACCGGTCTGCCAACGCTACGTACAAATGGTAAGCAAAAATCCTTAATGGTTAGTTCCGTTCGGATTGGCCTTTTACCATTTACTCTACAATCCCAATTTACCGACCGAGTCTAGGACGAGTTCAAACTGATTATAATTCCAAGATGGCGGGGGAAAATTTCAAATTGTAAGCATATTTTCCATTCGAATATTTCGGTTGGAAATTTTGGACTGCCGTTTAAGACATTCCGTTTATTTCGGAAATTTCTCCAGTCGGTCGAGCCAAAATTGTCTTATAATTTACATGCTGACAGAAATTTCCGGAAGTTTTCGTTAATAAGTGGTACGTAGACAGCCAGGATGTTTTCATTTACTTGCAACAGAAGTGTAAAGTAGTGGTCTTTAGAGCTGCTTCTACTATTATTTCCCCGATTGGGGAGCAGAGTTGGCGCAGTGGTGAGAGCGCTCGCCTCCCACCAATGTGGCTTGGGTTCGATTCTGGCCCGGTGCCATTTCAGTGGGTTGAGTTTTGTTGATGGTTCTCGCCTTGCTCCGAAGGTTTTTCTCCGGGATCTCTGGTTTTCCTCCCTCCACAGAAACCGACATCTCCAAATTGTAATTCGACCAGGATAGAAGACCTGGATGAAAACCAGTCAAGGCTAATGTGGCTTCCTCTCTAAATATTGAGGTAAAACAAACGGAAACTGGGTGGATTATAGGGTTAAAAATCATTAGAACTCTTTCGTTGTTCGGTACGTTTTCAGCGATGCCAGACTGTTGGTGAGGAACTGACCCAAAATAAGGAACGTTTAAGATAACGTTTGTTCTAGCATTTTCCTCCGCAAACGCACACATTTCCATTTTTATGGCCTCGGTAACTTTGGCAATTTTGAGAAGTATTGTCCGCAACTGAACCCACTAGGGAGGGCTGAGGCCCCGTCTACACTACCCCGGAGGAATTTGAAAACGGAGATTTCGCTCTGAAAACGCATCAAAGGATGTTTATATCTAATAGATACAAGGTAAGCTTTGTGAACAAAACAATTACAAGTACCAATGCAGAAAAAAAATTCTTTCTCGGCAGAAAGTGACTACACCCCCACCCTTCTCCCCCTGAACTCAAAAATTAAATGGTCCGTTCTCAAACAGAATAAATCGGACAACAATTGCAACTTTTATTGGAGCGGTTATATCTTATAACTTTGACTCTTATCGTTAGTACCATTTCGCCATTTCGCCGTTTCGTCATTTCGTCATTTCGTGTTTTAAACTCGCCCGCCTTTAGCTAAGTGCAATTCGTGAAAGGATTTTCAAATATCACGAGTAGTGTGAATCCTTAACTGCTCGAGCTTTCATACGACTACTTATTTATTATATGACTGAGAAAATTGCGAATGCGTTCGAGTTAATTTGCATTGCAGTGCAAATTACGAATTAACGCTAAATTGGCCTGCTCTCAGCCAATCACAATGAAGTAATTTTCTCGGTCATATAATAACTGATCTAACCTTACTATATCTATTTATTTTACTGATTTACTACCCAAATACAATAGGGCTGATAACAACATTCACCATTATATACATTTCAATTGACATCATCATTATCTATGCCGAAGATAATGTCATTTATCACTACAGAAATAGCTTGGAATTATCACAATATTGCAGGAAATATATCTAAAGAATAGCGTTAACTTCAAAAATGCATTGGAGTGAATAATATTCCAGCAATTATCTATCAACGACCAATTGACATTTGACACTGCAGCTATGCGTTACAGAAATCTATATCATAAGATGTGCCGCCAATTTAAACTGATGGCATGGTTTCTGCAGAGTTATCAACTGCTGCGTAACTGAAATAAAGACAAATAGAGTAGTACTTGCTTGTTACTTAAGTTATGCGGCTGTTTACAACTGGATTACATTACAAGCAAAAAATCACGGACGATTTTAAGTGTCCGAAGATAAAACCGTCCGACATTTTTGGAGTAGAAGGTCACTCCAAAAAGTTTATGTTTTTGTCTCCACCTATAGCAGGTAAACATAGGGTTTTTCCACGGACTAAAGTTCCAGCCACTAATGTGCCAGCTATCCATAAGATACGTAAGAATTTGTGTTATTTTCCAGTCGGTATATCTCTAAAACCTTGAGGGTACAGTAAAACTGTCATTTCCACAGATGTCGTTTCATTATGATTCGCCTTTTCTAGCCGTAAATTTGCTTATGTTATGTTTCAGCAAAGTGTCCGAACTTTTTGTCCGAAATTTGTCCCAAATGCGATAAAAAGTATTCGAAAATTAAACGTCCGAAATTGTTTGCAAGTAAAGTAGTTCTACGTACACCGGCCCCAGTTTTCCCCTACAGCTCACATAAGCTGACGATTCACACATGATTCTCTTGACTTTCTCTCTCCAGAGTCTCTTCTGTGTTCCTCTCGCGGATTGAAGTATCTTGGGCATTTTCCCACGCATTAAGGGCGCTTCCATCGTTTACCCTGTTTTGCCTCCATCTTCCCTTGGGGCAAGCCAAAAACAGGATTTTCAGGTAGCCACGACGGTAGTTCTTGTTGCTTAGCCCATAAATTAATGGATTCAAACAACTGTTCACAAAAACCAATAGGGAGAGGACATGGTGCAAATTGGTATCCAGCCGTGTTTTTCCCGCCATTGCCATCGCGTAGTTGATCTGATTTGGCGCGAAGCAAACGATCAGCATGATGCAGGCGGCACCAACCATCCGCGTCATTTTGCCGCGAAGTTTAGAGCGACTCTCAACCGAGGCGATTGTGGACTTGCTTGCCTTGTAAACCATGTGAATGAACAAGAACAGCATGGTGAGGCTTGGAAGCACCATTTTGAACAGGACTTGAATGATTCCCACAATACCACGGACTGGCTGCTTACTCCAGTACAGCTGCCATTTGCATCGTAGATTAAGCGGATTCGAAGAAACGTACGCAACTTCGAACAGAGAGGTGCCACAGAGGATCACCGACCAAAGCCACACAAGGAAGATGTAAACAAGGGTTCGCTTCTGGTTGAAGGTCTCGCTGTACTTGTGAGGCTTGATCACTGCATACCACCGCTCCGTCGCCAAAGCCATACAGATGTACGCTGAGAAAACCACCAACTGAAAGAGAAACATACGACTCCATATGACTCGGCAGAAGATGTCTCCTAGCACGTGATTGGTCGGATAAGGAAACGCGTCACCAAGAACAAAAGCTGGGTTTGTAATCAGCAGGAAGGCGGTTAGAACATCAGATATGGCCAGGGACAGGATTAACATGTTGTAGGATTTCTTTAACAGCTTCTTGTCCCAGACGAAAACAAGAATGACCAAGATGTTTCCTATGATAGCTACTGTGGCCAGGATAGCGTATGTTATACGTGTGAAGGTAGTTATTCCAGGTAGAGGTTGATTTGGTACGGTTGTAGATGCGTTAGAGATGTTCATATTTACTGCATGTAGGATGAACCTCTCGTCAACTGCTTTGTTATTATAATTGCACTTGGTGTTACTTGTTCTTCTGAGGTTTACATTATTCACAAGTGTCATTCACATTTTCAGATTTCCCTCGCCTATGGTCATCCTTTCTTTCATAAATCTACGAGAGATCGAGCGACAAAATACTGGTCACCTACATATTTCTATATTACGGGAGTATTTATTTCAAACAAAAGGGCTGAACTGTTAAATTCTCTGCTAAAATCCTAAGACTTGTCATCTCTGCCGATATTTCAAAACGACTTAAGATAAAAAAAGATTCTTGTGAAGATTTCGTGCGTCAAAAACCTCTTTGTTAGCTGACTTGCTTTCAGGCGTGAACTCAATGACGCTTCGAATTAAATATTTAACATATGACCGATAATTTCTAAACTTTTAGCTACAGCTATGTGAATTTCAGAACTGGAAAGAGTATGTTAAAATAGCCAGAACACCAATTTTCAGACCAATGTCATGAAAGATTGAGATTAAACAAGAGAAAAATGATGATTTGATTATTGCAAAAAATTCGAAGGCTTTGTACAGGATGTGAGGAACCTTTGCGCTCCAGAAACCTTTTCTGTCATTTATCACTACAAAACAAAGCTGCTCGTAAACAACTATTGGAGATAGAAATAGTGGTAAAATATTAGGAATAATGAAAAGTTCTAGGCTCTTTAAGCGAAAGGCAAAGGTTTTTATGGCAGTTTCAAAACTTGCAAAATTACAAGGATTTGTATGGAAAACCACTGGAGCGTGATTGGAGGGCAAATTATCTTCTTCTCTTATACACATTAAAGAGAATTTTGCTCTATGTTTGGAATTCGTGCGTCAGACCGGTCTTGCTTTTTAGCTTGAGTTCAGGGATTTAACGCTTTCAAATTTTTGAATTGATCAAGGACCCTTTTTTTTTCAAAACCCTCTTCAATTTTGAATAACTTCCTGAAAAATGGAAAAGATAATCGTTTGAAAACTAGTGTCGTATTTCTCATTTTAAAATCTTCAGTCCCAAGTTGAATTCCGATTTTCTATCATTTGATAATAATTGTTGCAGTTTCAGTTTCAAAATCTAAGGAATCGTATTTTATGTGACGAAGAAACCAATCGCTTCGCTAGATCCTTTCCGCCTAGTTAAACAAGTAATATTCTAGTGGTCGAACATGAGGTCTTTTCTAGCCTTGGTCAAATATTTTAGCATTTTGATCTGTCAGTTTCCATTGTTTATAGTTTACACAGGCTCCATGACCGAACGACAAAAAAAAGTATTTTTGCTACACAATTTAGCAAAAGATTAGCTTTTGTTTTTTGAATGCTGAACGTTCGTCAAGTTGAATGTCACACTCAGAAAAAAAATAAAACTTATACACTACTCACCAGTGATGTTGAAAACCGAACTGTTCCTTTTTGGTTGGCTTTCACTGCTCAGCTTAAATTCGTGGTTGTGCGGTTTTTTTTCCAAGCCAGTGACCGGCAGCAATTTGGAACGACTAAGATCACTGTCCTGATATGAAGGTTTTCTTTTTTTTTATTTCTATGTAAATGTTCCTGCTGGAGTAAAGAAAGAGATTTCATTAGCGTCGGCGGCACTTTATGGAGGGTAATCACATCTTAATTCCTGGCACCTGTCCTGTTCACTCAATAAATGTTTGCCACTTTGATTTTTTGCTTTCGTTCACTGAAAAGCTGTACATTTATTTAGACGAATAGAGCTTTATCAAAACTCCGGATCCGACGGGGGAAGCTTCCACTGACAAACACTCAAGCAAGTAAATTTCAGCTGTGATTGCCCAAGCCCAAAAGAACAACAACTTAAAATGCATTTGTTTTAGGAAAATGGATCAATACAGATTTACTGAGTCCACTGAGTAATGATGCTTAACATTCTCAGCTAAAAGCCAAAGCTAATGCAATGCAAATGGTGTGTGTCAACATTGAAATGTTAAGTATTTAATGTAATTGTAAATAGTCCAAAAGCACGGTGGGTGACGTTCTACTTGTAGTAAAATAGTAATGTGAGGTGCGTAAAGCAATGTATTGTATTGTAATGTATTGCAAATTTAATGTATCTTTATACCATGTATTGTAATTGTAATTTTAAAAAAATAATCATAATATAAAAGCCAAAGCTCTGGTCATCTTCAATGGCTGCCCGGCACGACCGAGATCGCCTTGTCTTTCTGCTCGGTGAGAAACGATAGGGATTAGAAAGAGAAGGAAATCTCTGGGTGCGTTCCTTTGGGATGATCTGAATCAGGATCAGTGATCCAAGATCACTCGGATCGTGGTGCATCAAAGGAACCGATGAATCCGTGACCTGATTGGAATCATTGTTTCTTTTGATGCACCATGAGCTGAGTGATCCTGGATCACTGATCCAGATCAAGATGATTCCAAAGGAACACGCCCATCTGTCTAGCAGGGCATTAAATGGCTTTCAGAAGAGTTCAATTTGCATGAAATTGAACAAGCAGGTGAAGGATATTTTCATGAGTGGGAGTAGATTCCAAAAAAAAATTACTTGAATAATCCACACTACGACGGAGAAATTTGAAAACGCGGTTTTATTTCTACGGTTAGGCCTACCGTTTACACTAGTACTAATCCGTCACGAAAACGGAGCTTTTCGAAAACCCTCTTCAAACCGGAGGAATTTGAAAACGCTGGCTTTGCGTTTTCGTTTGGACGGAAAACATTTTGAAAATTAAGCTTTTCGAAAACAATGGCGTCACGATAATCAAGTCATTTCCTTGACCGAGTTTTTCTTCAACACAACTCCCGAATGACCGACGACTGTTGCGTTTTTTTTTTTTAATTCCTCCATCAGTGTGGACGGAAAACATTCGATACGTTTTCAGAGTGGACCCTCCGTTTTCCAATGCTTCCGGCTTAGTGTGGACGGAGCCTTTTGTTAATGGTGGCATATTGTCAACTGAACTGTAAATGCACGAGTTATGCTAAGCGTAACGATTAAATGCTATTTTGTGTATTCTTAGATAAATACATGTTATTTACTGGGCGGGAGGTCCGTATTGGAAAAAACTGTCCCCAAGGTCTTGAGTATGGCCAGAGGCTGCAGGCCGAGCGCTGCGCTCAAGACAGAGGCAAATTATTTTCTAAATGAGTTAGTGTCATTCAATCGACTAACGCTCACGCCATCTACAAACCATTCGTAACGAGTAACTCAGAGACTAGACCGGCTAAGACTGTATTAAAGAACAGACATATTTTAACTACTTAATTTTAAGTCTCGCTTCACCAGTTAAGTTCTCCAAAATTTCTTTTTCTGGGAAAAAAGTGTTTTTCGGCCGAATTTGGAGTTGTACTACAAACTCACCTTCGGTCGGTCGTTCCGACTCAGTTGAAATCAAACTTTTCTTCCGTGAATTGACTAACAAAACCCGAAGAAATTCATGAATTGTATTCCACGAAAATTCACTTAAATTTAGAGGCGATAAGAAAGGTGACCTAGGGTCAGATTTACGCGTTAAATATTGATTATACGGCGAAAAAACACAAGCTTTCGCGCCATTACACCGCCGAGCTACAAACAAACAAACAAACTCGAACAATTTTAAAAAATAGGTACGTAGTGCGTACAAGGTCAGGCATGCAACAAGCGCATACAGCATACTACCCCTTATGAGTCCCTCGCTTATGAGCACCCCCTGGTCATAGACCCATCTCCCTGTAAACCAAAATATGCATACAATTATTGGTCCCGAGTTTAAAGTCCCTCTAGCTTTCCTTGTTTTGAGTCAAGCTAAGCTTTTTCACAGAACTTGTTATTAAGACATTTTAAAGCTCATTTAAAAACCAGTATATGAAAAATTCAGTTTTATTATTTGAATATGTAACTTACATTCAGTGTGTACAAAATGTTTCAGTGTGTACATCATTTGGCAAGAGATGATGAAGGTTACCTTGATCTCTTGGTTCTGGCAAAGTATATATATATTTTTCCCGATCACGTTTTTCGATTCCGTGCGTTTTAACCGTCGATATTTAAACTTCTCTCCTAAGCCATACCCATGCAAGTTTACTAAGCGTCTTAGCAGGGAAAAGCCCAGTTACGAGTATTGCTGGTTTTCAGTGTCACGCCATTCAAAATAGATCAAAATAAAAATCAAAACCGTTCTATAGATAAAGTCCAGAAGCTGAGAAAAGATAGAAAGTAAATATTAAAAGACTCTCGACAAGATTCAGGTCACAGCAATTTTTCTTATGCAAGATATGCGGGGAAACTTTTTACCCAAATTTGTAGAGATTTGTATGGAGACGCCATGCTGGTGCCCATACTTTTTCTAATACAAGAACTGTTCAGATAGCCAAATTACCCGAATTAAGTCACATTTTTAACCAACACGACAGCTCTCTCGGCCGTCACGTAAATGCCGCGTCACGCAAAAGCCTAGAAATTCAAGCGTAGTCTATCACAAAACCAAGAACCCATTCGGAGCAAAAATTTGTATGAATGATTAGTCTTGCCGCAAAATACTTTTTCGCCTGAGGTTTCGTGCCAGAGTCGAACCCAATAAGCATTTGGAACGTTATGCAAAATTCGACGGCAACGGAAACAATCTCGCTCCAAAAGCCTGCGATCTTTTTAGTCAGCACCAAGAAATCGAGACCTCTGGGAGAAATTGGAAGGTGAGCCAGGGTTAGTCACAAGTGGTTACACTTTCTACGCATGTTCAGAAACCGTAACTTAACTTGAACGCGTGGGCACAATCAAACCGAAACCAGGATTTTCCGCTTCCAGTTTTTGAACTTTCGGCCACCGCTGATTGAAACTGCGCGGAGTCTAAGTACGACATCGCAACGGAAACAACGACATTGAGCAGAACAGTGACCCTGCACACTCATTCTGCATGGTCGCATATTAATTGCTCACATGTCGTTATCTGTTGTTTTTCAGTACTCACGTTTTACGCAGTCACGTTTTATTGACTAAGGGTTTCTCTAGATCACGTTCAGTGACACCTTTAATTGGAAGCCCGCAGTCTAGGTCTTTATGTTGCTAAGCAACTGATCTTACTTTGGTGACGTAACATCGCTCGAAACATCGACCCGCAACGAAAATTTCCCATAAAATGCTGTTTATTGTTCCCCGATTGCCATTTTTCGAACACTCTGCTCAATCACAACTCTCGTGACACTGAAGTAGAATGG